TACCACATTAAGATAAAGACTGGTGCTCCAAGACTGTTATGGATTATGTCCCCTGTAGATGGAAACAGCTGTGTGAGCAGCTGATCTACCTTGAAGAGAATTTTTCGCTTCACCCAGGGAAACTGAAACTCAGTTTCCAGTAGTGGGATGGATTTAAAGCTTGGGCAACACCGTTTTGTGAGCACTCTTTCTGTGTTGCTGCTTTAAATTGCCATTGCACATGGTGGGGGAATACTGTTCTAGAGCCAGGATTTGGTGTTTGTCTTGTGACCATTTGGCGTGACTGTTCCCATTGCTTAAGCAGAGACCTCTGCCAAAAGGACCTCTGGCTTCAACTGCATTAGCCTGGGAGGAGGCATCAGTGCAATTCATCCCAGTCTTACCAGGAGAGCTGCAGCATCCATATGTGGCTGCAAAGATTCAGTTATCTTTGGAAGCAAAGTGTGTATGAACATGCGATGTCCTCAGGTCAGTCTTCTGTCTTTCCACTCCTCCAAATAGCTTTGAAATCACAGGTTTCCCTCAACTTTAACGGAGATCTTGGAGGGCTTGTTGTGTGTGGGTTTTTTTGGTTTGTTTTTAAAAAAGGAGGCTTCATGTAAGTTATGTGACAGCAAGTGACTGCAGAAGAGATGGTGTCCAACCTCCCTTAAAGGCTGGCAGTGGACTTCTGTAGAGAGTTTGTCTCAATTTAAGAAGTTTAGGCTGGAGCTCTGGAGGAGCATGGATCCAGAAGACCAGAGAAGATACCCTGGGAAATGAGTAACTGAGTGCTTGGAGAGTTTTGGGTTTGGGTTGTTTTCATCCTTTCAGAGGTTGGTTTTATTTCAGAAAACTATTTAATCATAAAAACATGAAAGAAGCAAGGGTTAGAAAGGGTATGTTTTCCTCCTTAGGCAGTGTTTCCTAAAGCAGGTCATGACCCTTTTATGCAGGAATTTTGCAGCTGCTATCCTAAGGGTTGGAACTGTATCTGAAAGCCTACAGGGGCAAAAGCAGGGGGTATTAAACAGATCCTAATACCTGCTTGGGGTCTCTTTCCTTCCCCCAGCCCTCGATAAAATGATCTCCTGCTTTTCAGGAATAAAGCAGCAAGCATTTGGCCGTGCCCAGTTGTCATTGTTTTGCTAAGCCGTTATGCTGGAAGAGATTAACTAGGCAGTGAATTTTCTCCGAAAGCTGATCTTGAGGGAGGCGCAGAGGGAAGAGCCTCGGCACTGACCTTGATCACAGTGTCTTGAGGTAGGGAGCAAGCATGAACTGAGCACAGGAGCATTATTAACCCAGTGCTGCCCATATCATTGCAGCTGAGCAGCGTGGGACTGCAGCTGATTTGTTTAAATTGTGCCATCCTAGTGCAAACTGCCCTTGTGGGTTTTTTCCTTATTGAAGATGGTTCATAGCAGCCAGGGAAATCACTTCTCTCCCTACTTTTCCCCGTGTATTTGTTACCCTCTCCTAAACTTTAAAAAAAAAAATATTGACTTGCCAGGCTTTTCTCTCCATTGGTGTTGTCTTCTCTATGCTTGTTTTCACTTAGCAATGTGTTTAGCATCCTTGCTGCAGCTTCTCTCCTTTCCTTCTCTTGCCACCCTGGAATTTCATAAACAAATTGTATGGCTGCAAAGCCTGAAGTGGCCTTGTTGCTATGTGTTCTGTGCTCTTCAAAGAAGCATGGAAACCCCTCTTTGTTTGGCCCCAGAAGCACGGCACGCCGCTGCTGCTACCAAAGAGCAGCTTGCTTGTGGCACATCGTGCTGGAGCTTGGCTTAATCCTTGCTTGATATGCTTTTGAGATTTCATTGTTTCTCTATAATTAAGTGCTACAGAGGAGCTGAAAGAAATGACGAATTAATGGGAGAGGGGGGAGTGGGGAGAGCAGGTGGTGATCGAACCAAAGAGAGCTGCCAGAGAAGTAGGAGCAGCAGGGAATTAAATGGGAGGAGTCTCGAGTTCGGATGATTCGCTGCCATGTGCCCAGAAGGATTTAGTTTGGGATTTCATTACTGTTCAAATAATGCCATACACCCATAACAGATCGGGTCCCTGCAGGCTGGGGCATTGTCCAAACACTTAGCGAGAAGCAGTTTTTGCCCTGAAGTCCTAGCAAGCATTGATCAGGCTGGCTTGAGGACTGGGAAGGAGCTGTAGCATGCATGGTCCTGCTTTTAATTAGTTTCCATCTATTGTTTCTGGTAGTAACATCTTAAAAAAAAAAAAACAAAACACAAAGCTGTTCTTTGTGTAGTCACTTCTATAAACCCCTGGACTTCACTGTCATCTTGTAAAAGATTTCGTCTACAGTAGTGGTATTGCATCTGGATTGTAAGAAGCATCTCTGCCAGTCACGCTTATGCCAACTGGGTTTAACTGGCACAGAAACCCCAGTATGTCATGTTGTGGGGGGAAAGCAGGCGTATGCTGGAGCTATTAAGTGCCTGAGATATCCAGACAGTGTCTTTGAGCACAGATACTCTTGTGTTGATGAGGTCTGTGCAGGTAGCTTTAGAGACAAAAATGCACACCGCAAAACTAACTGAAGAGCGAAAAGGGTTGCCTGACAAGGCAGCCTTCTGAGGTGCACGGTTGTATATTCTTGCAGCATCTGGCTTATGTTTTCAGCCTCCATCTATTACTATGCACCAAGACATCCAAAGAAAGAAATCATAATACTGGTGCTTTGAATGTGTCATCAGTAGTGTTTCTTCTGGGATCTAACTCTTTCCAAAAGAATGATACAGGCACAAGTGTTTGTTTTTTGTTCTGACTTCCAAAAGGCTATTGCTGTAGGGAGCCCAGCAGTGCTAGGAAATGCAAGCTCGCTTCTCCTGCCTTTTGTCGCCACTTCTGTATTCTCTGCTGTCTTTATCTTGAGTAATTTTGTGTGGTTTTGCTTTTTTTCTCCCCAAAGAAGCAGCAAAAAATTTTAGAGAAGCAGGTACTGGGTGGAGAGGAGGAGGTCAGTGCAACCCAGGATTCCCTGTGGGAATTTGTCTGTGCTGGGGCTGCTGCTTTTGTGTTGGAGTCCTGCATCTTGTACCTGCCAGGCAAAGTGACCACAGGCAGTGTATGTAGAGGTTTGCTTCTGGGATGCTTGTCCCGTGCTTAATATGGTGTATTTCAGCCCTGCTCCTGGCAGCCTGGCCAAACTCGGCTGTCAAAACCTCCCTCCCTTGCTTTTTCTGAGCGCTTTTTGTTAATGTCTGCCTAGACTCTTCCATCTTCTCCATCCTTTGCTCAAGACCCTGCTTATGGCACTCAAACTTTGTTTTCAAAGTCCCTTGTAAATATTCTTGCCACTATTGCTGTCCTTTTCTTCCACCTAACCTTCTCCTGGTAGTTTTGTTTTGCCCTCTGCTATGAATAGCCTCTGAAAAATAATACGTGTGCAAGTAATAAATGGCCGCAGTCTTGAACTTCTTAAAAACCCATTTGCAACCTTGCCGTTTTGTGTTCTGTACGTGGCTGCCTTCTGCTGTTAAAATGTAAACTCTTAAGTGCAGGGAATCAACTGGCAAGCTGATGCTGTTGTCCAGGGTGCACTTGCAATGCCATATAAAGTGAAGTGACACTCCTGTAGCTCCACTGTAGTAGGTACTGGTTGAAGATTAGAGGAGGAGAGTCCGACAGTTCAGGGCGTTGTAATTTATTTTGGCGTGACTTTGGATGGAGCAGTTTTTCCTCTATCTTTCAGGGTTGGATTTCAAGCTCTTTTCCCCACCTGACACTTTATTCAAGTCTGACTGTGACTTGGTGCAACTCCCTGCAGGAAGTTGGTGGTTGTAGGGAGCTTCAGTAGCCTTCCTTTGAAGATGAGATTACAGGTGTTTGCCCCCAGTTTACCTGAACAGACTAGAGGGGGAAAAAAGTTTGCAAAAAATGTTGTACTACACCTGTATTGCAGAATCTGGGAGCAGGTTTTAGAGTGTTAAGAACAGGAGAATCTGGTAAAACAGGTGTTTTATTCCAAAATGCAGAATAGCTGTTCTTGTCTCTAAATGGGCTCAAGAGTTATGCCTGGGATAATGAACAGAATAGATGTGGGTTCATTTTTTAATAGCATTTTTTTAGGTATTGGCAATAGGAAGCTCTTGAGCTATTTCCCACCCATCCTGACCCCTTTTTTATTAATTTTAATTTATTCCTTTCCAGTGAAGTGTATAAATGTGGGGAACAAAGATAAAGGTAGAAAAGAAAGCAACAAGGTGTCCTATTGATGAGATGTGAATGTTGCAAATATTTCTGGAGGTCAACAAATATGGGCTTAACATCAGCTAGATTAGGTCTCACTGTTGCAAAATCCTTTTGATATCAGAGGATATGATATTGCTGAGCAGTTTAAATCCAGATCTCTTATCCCTACTTCTAGCAGTTTGAACAACTGTACATTAAAATTCAATATTTTTTCCCTCTTGGAATGTAAATGTTCTCTGGCTGTGGTTTTCAACCCAGACACTGGCAGTGTGCTACTACATGAGAACTCGAGCTGAACAGGCTTGAATGAAGCCTACCTCGTGTCTTTGCATAAAATGAGGAGAGATGAGAACAGCAATTAGTACATAAAAATATTTGAAAAATCTCATTAGTGTTGATAGCGAAGAGTGTGGCTTGTTTCAACACTCTGGGTGAACACATCAGGTTAAAAGTCTGTGTGACCTCAGTGGCCTTTCTTTTAAAAGCACATGGAGAATCACTCTTCTGTTATAAGTAAGCTGGAGTAGGGGCTTTTTTTCTGTCTGCAGAGCTGTAACGATCCCTGCAAGGGATCAGAAAGATCCACTTGTTTTCGTTCTATTAGCCCAGTACTTCAGTGTTGCAGCTGAAATGTCCCACCGAGCTGCATGGACGTGGAGTGAGGAGTGACTGTGGAGTTGCCTTCACTGGGTGTTCACCTGGCTCTGCTGCCTTTATGAACTGGCACTCGTAATTTTGTTGTCTGACCTCCCTTCCTTTCTGCTGAAGTCCCCTAAGATGTTGCTAACTGTCTTTTTCACCCACAGGGAGTGGAGCGACTGCGGTGGTGCAGGCAGCCTTCTGCGCTCCAAAGAAGGAGAAGGTGGCAATTAAACGGATCAATCTTGAGAAGTGTCAGACGAGCATGGATGAACTCCTGGTATGCAATCAAAATTGTCTGGAGAGTTGTATTTCAGTTTGCTAAGTGCCTTAAACAACAGTTCTTGAGGTGGTGTGAGGATGAGGGGACTTGACTGATTTCACTAGAGGCAGTTCAGTTGTCTTGGTTGTGGGACACGGTACTTAAAAAGATCAACTGTTGGAGAACTTCAGGCTATTTGTTTAGAGCTAAGCACTTTGTTCAAAACAAAGGGATTATACAGAGCTATCATGCCAGTGTGAAGCTCAGCTGTACCCACAAAAGCTCTGCAGTTTGAAGGGGACCCTGAGCCATCTGCTTCAAGAATCTTTAAAATTTTAGGGAATGGTTTTACTTTCTTTTCCTTTCCTGCAGTTCTTTACGTGTTTTTCCCTTCACCTATAAAGAAAAAAACTGAATGAATTAGCTCTTTTTCCTAACCTCTTTCTGATACTGATGCCAGCTGAGGGATCACTCTGGCATATTGCAGGCTGCCATATGGAAACCTCCGCTAATTCAGAGTTCAGGACAGGAGGTAGAGTCTTTTGGAGCTGTAGCTCTGTAATTTTCTTCTGCTCTGTGCCTCTTTTCTCAAGATTTTCTCAGTAGAAAACAGCTTCTCTCAGGTAGCTGTGGTAACGAAAATTTCCTTTTTTCATCTGGCTTGCATGTTGATGGGCTTCATCTTCTCCTTTCCTGTGTGTGTGAGCTGGTGCTTCTGTAGTGCAAGCAGCTGTCACATTCACCTCGTATCTAAAACTTTCCATAGTAAATATCGGCTGGCAGGGGTTGCGAAAAGGCAGGGAGATGAAGCCTTGTACCACCTTCCCTCTTAAAGCAACTCTCTAGGATTTTTTTAACCCTACCTGTTTGCACCTTGATAGCTTCTGTAGTGTTACCTCAGCCGCTTGTTTTGGTGATTGCAGTTAGAAAGTAGAATAGAGACAGAATTCAGGAGTATTCATGGATAGCTCTACAGCTGTACAGTCTTCAAGTCACTTGAACCACGGTTCCAGTTTCTGTTGAGTGACTAATGCTATTTTTATCATTATAGGTATCTGCAAATCTGCTCTTGTAAAGAGGAAAGGCTCTATCCAAGCTGTCACATTTTAGTGTGCCTGTGCAGGGCTGTGCATAGGTCTCTTAAAATGACCTGCATGCAAATCCTCTCCTGGCTCGTGTTAATGTAGGAGTTTGAGATCTCTTCCCTTTTTGCAGTTGGTCTTTCTGTCCTGATACCAACTCTTAGTGCTCTTTTCAAGTCTTTTACGTGGCTTGTCCATACTACTCTGCCTCAGTTGTATTCCTAACTGTATTGTCATGATGTAGTAATTGAGATTGTTACTGTTTGAGTAATTGCCAATTCCAGCTAAAAGGGTTAGGTTCAGAAAGATATGCTGCGGAGACTTGGCATGTAATTTTAGATAAGTACTTCTAATTGCATATTTTAGATCTCTGGCTGACCCATTCCTCACAATGATTTTTCTTGTTCTGGGTAGGACTGCAATGAATTGCTGTTGTCAGCTCTCCTAAGCTTCCAATTTTGTGACCAGATCTAGTGCAGGTCCTTCTGTAGGCTTGTGTAGAGGTCTGTTGTGAAGGCAAACATTCATGTCTCAACATCGTGTGGCAAATACTGTTCGTTAGTGCCTGGGATGAAGACAGGAAATTGAGGTCTTCCCATACCTGCTGTCAGTAAACAGACTTTTCATGACTTGCCTTGTAGCATTTTATAGACAGCAATACAGGCATTAAATGGCTTCAACTGACAAATTTGGACATGGCCTATAAAAATAACTGCCTTAATAGTGAGATGTTAGGCCAGGAGACTGTACAAAAATGTAGAGGGAACCTGACAACAAACTGTTCTCTGGTCGATTCCTTGACTGGTTTAAGGTCTTCCTTTTCAGACTCAGATGTGGTAGTCTGTGAGTGGTTCCCCTTTTCTGTGTACCCCAGAAGGCAGGTTATTAGCCTAATTGTTGAAATAAGCCTCTGTACCATGTCTTTAGTTGTGCTCTCAAAATCTGTATCCCCTCTAGAAAACCTGTATGTGATTTAAGGAGCACGGGTAACTGATTAGTGTCTAATACTTCAAAAGAAGGTGCGAGAATCAACCTCTGGCCAATTTTGGGATAATCTCTCCCCAAAGAAATTCTTGTCTGGACCTGTAACAGTTGAACTTTACTTATCCAGATTTAAGCTGATCTCTTAATTATTTTTGAAAGCTCTTTAAAAATGCAACTATAGATAGTCTTGAACTTAAAATCATGGAGAGGTGGAGGTGGAAAGAGGATGGCTGCAAGCTCTAGCAGCTTCCTGGGCCAGTGGTTGCCAAGGTAGACATGTGTGAAAAAGTGTTTTCCCTGGGTTTCTTCTGAATTGGTCAGCTTATTGGATGTTGTTGCCCAGTGTGAGAGCCGAAGGGATGGAAGATCTGATTTCCTTGCTCAGTGCTCTTGCCCTCCCTACTTTTTATCTTGTCTCTGTATTTGCTTCTTCCCAAAAGTAAACATTCTCACAAGCTCTTCAGTCTTGTAGTCTCCCTTCATGGCAGTTTCCCTGATGAGTTTAATTATCTTTCTTGAACAACTACTTGTTATTGCAGGATTGCTTTTTTTTTCCCCTTCCAAAAACTGTAAATGTAAGTCTTTGTAGATTACAGTGGTTTTAAGAAGCAAGTGCAAAGAGAAATATGGTGAGTTCACACTGGGGTATGTTATGCCCCCTACTTGCTTTCTCCTCTCCTCCAATGCAGTTAAAAGCATGAACTTGGGCTTTTATTAGATCCATTATCCTTCTGAGCACAATAGTCAGCTTACGGTAAACTTTGATGTACCGCCTGGGGTCAGGACATTGCTATTGTGTTACAGCACTGCCCAGTCATCAAGCAATGGGATAGAAAAGGGAAAATTGTGCTTAAATTCTTTTTAAATTTTTTTCTACAGTGTTTCAGACCCATAGACTTTTCCATTGAAGCAAGCCTGTTTACTCCCAGAATCTGCCTAGCAAAGAGGGTAAAACAGCGTCATGTTGCTTGGGAGAGGGTAGGGAGAGCAGCAAATAGTTCTGCCATTGATAAGGATGACTTGTTTCTTCTATGACTCTTTCAGGGTCCATGCTACTTAGTGGCTGGCACTTCTATTTCTTGGGATGCAGGAGAAGGTTAGTTTGGAGTGGGGTTAGGAAGCACAGTAAGCGGCTCTGTTGCTAGCTGAATGGATGAGGGGCCTTGAGCTTCCTTTAAGCTTCTATAGCAGCAGGTGCCCAGAGGCCTGGGAGTCTGGGAGCGCTTCCTAGCTTGTGGAGATGCCATGCTTAGGGTGATTAAGTGGTATGACTTGGCTCGTTAAAGGTATTTATCTTGATCCTTGCATCTCGACAACATGTGGGTGGTCGGGGATAACCTGCATGCTTTGCAAATGCTGCATGACATTTTAGATTAATGCAATGGATTAATTTATTGCTGCTACAGGATATGGAAGTGTCGGAAGCACCAATTTTGTTCCATTGTGAGCAAACCAAGTCAAGGGCACTCAGCTCTTGAACAGAAGTGCTAATTGCTGTAAAGAATGTAGACAGACCGGAGTAATGCAGTGCAGAGATGTGGCTCTTTCTAGCCCAGCTAGTGAATTAGGTGATGTTAGTCAGGAATTTATTTCAGTGCTTGATTTTAATTCTTTTTTCCTGTACATTTTTGAATGCTCCTGGATCTCTTCTAGACAACATGCAGGGTTCAGCTGGAAGGCAAATACAATGGAGTTTATAGTGATTCTTGCTCACCAGTGTGACTGGAAGTGGAGTGTAAGGAGAGGTGGTCAAATACAGCGTTGTCTGCAATTGGCCTTGGACTTTTTGATTCGTTACTGAAGTTCCACTTCTTACCTATCTTGCAACCCACAGTAGTTAAACTTATGCAGCATTTGGTGTGTGTTTGAAAACAGTCTGCTCATGCGGTGTATTTCACAACTGGACACGGGTCACTGCTTTATCTTGCTTTTACCTCTCCTTTCCTTTGTGGGATGCTGGTTGCATTGCTGCTGTTGCCAATCCTCGAAACAGGGTGGTATAACATCTCCCTCAAAATAAGCATGCTTCAAGCTTTTTTTCTTGTGAAAATGTTTTCTTGGTTTGAAGAATTATTGATCTAAATGGCCTTAAATCTCCCTCTGTCCAGCAAACTCTGCTTCATTTTCATGCAATTAAAGCTGAGTTAACTTTCTTTCATGCAGATGTTTTTTTTTTTTTTTTTTTTCCTTCATGCTTTGAGTAACAGATGACATGGGTTATCAGCTTAGCAGTTAGTAGGAACGTTGAACAGCAGAGAGGGGGGCATAAGCTGTAGGGTATTTCACACTGGGTTTTCCCAGCTGGGGGGAACTGCTGCCTCTTTTGTTCCTAGGGTAATTCAACAGGAGACAGGTTCAGGAAGAGGCATGGGAGATGGGATGTTCTGCTCCTAGGAAGAGCCTCCAAACTCTTCCTAGTTCAAAGACTGACAGGACTGGGCCTGACAGGTCTACACATAAGAGTAAACTGAAGGTACTAGTCTTCCACTGCTGTGGTCAGAGGACAGTTAAGGAAGGCAAGGGAACAAGTTTAACTGCAATAAAAAGCAATGTCCTTTTGAATTTCATGGAATTAACCTAGGGAGCTTGTGGCCAGTAATACAAAGATCAAACGTTGCGTGAGATTAAATAAATCAACCTATAGTTTAGAATGTTAAAATAGATAGATAGGATTTAAAAAAAAGGATTATGAACTCCCCTAGTTTAAAGCATAAGCCAACTGTTAACTGCCCAGGCTCAGACAGAAGTCTTCCCTCTAGGCTGATAATTGTGTAACTGGTTGTTATAGGGTTTTACACCTTCTTTTGAAGACTTGGACAGGATATTGAACTGGCTTTGATCTGACAGAGCAGTTCCTACAAGTGGATTAACCAGACTATAAGGTTGTTGGGAACAAAGCAGCAGACTGCTGTAGGAGTAGTACTGATGTTTCATCCATGCCTGTCATCTTAT